CGCTGCTGCTGCTGCACATATTATACAGTCTTATATTTTTATTGGCTCATATTGCAATAAGAAGTGTATGTGCGTTTGCCCCCTACCGCCACCTCAAGTACTTAGGCAACTCTCTCATCTAGACTCGCCCGACCTGTTTTGGCCAGCGCAGTTGAAGGTCGCGCGCGGGACCAAAGCTCCTTTTTTCATCGCGGCTGTTGCGTCTTGATGCGCGAGTCCTCTGCCTCGCTTCTTCCCCTCATCCATCGCTCTGCTCTCGGCCCTGACTCTCATACCCGCAAAAAGAATATGGCAGATCATGGATGGGCCGCAGCAGCCGCCGCACTTTTTCATTATCGCCAATTAAAATGCACATTAACCGTTTCGCCCTGGCAGCGCAACGGTGAAAATTTCGCCAACCCGTTTTTAAAACCCTCTTTTATATCATTTCAAAAACTCATGCCAAAAATATATGAGATGAGTTTCAATTTTTATTAATGTGCAGCAAAAGTACGAGTTGTGTGCAATTCTCGGCGCAACGCCCAAGCCGAGAGTTTTTGCGTGGTAACACACTTGTTTTTCGTCGGCATTGAATCTCAAGTTGGTTCATTGCTGTGTACGTACGTATACGCTTTGTTTATGTGCAAGTGTTGCGAAATGATAGTTCGGGAGGGGCGGGCACTTAGGCTCTTGTTACGCTGGCAAAAGATGAGGGGCCTAAGGAGGGGGCAAGTTGACTAAAAAAAATAGCTGATGTGGCACGACGCGCCGTGTATTATCGCCAAACGCTTCAAAATCTCTCTTTGTCGATAGACCAAAGTCGAAAAATTACACAAGTTGCCAAAATGTTTCGTTCGGCCGCGGGCATAATATTTCATGCGTCCTTACTTTCCTCTTTTCTTGCACAGGCCTAATTGAAAAGATGTTGTGTTAGTGCTCGGCGGGGCTCAGGGACGCGCGCAAACAGACGCCAAAAAGGTTGCGCGAGCTTTTTGCTCCAAATTATTGGCAGGTGCGCCGGCCGCACCGAAGGGCTTGTAAAAATCGCCAGACATCACCTGACTGACGTCTAGCTGCCCCTCTAAGGACGTTTGCCTTCGCAGGTGCGACCGCGTCTGTCCCTCCGAGGAGCCGAAACGCAGATCAGTCAGACAATTGCTCCGCACCAGATATAATTTGATTCACACTGCCAATTTCGTGCAGACTGAATAAAAAAATGCCATTTTTTAACAGCCTGAGGCAAGCTTTTGCGTATCCCAACAATAAAGAAGTAAAGAAAGGCTAAAAAGATTAAGGAACGCCTCTTTAGAAAATGATAAAATTAAAAAACTCTTTTCGGAAGAAAGAGCAAGTTTTCATTTCCCTAAAATATTTTTTTTAAAATAAATATTTTTTTGTTTCACAGGAAATATTTAGACAACTGTTAATTATTTCGTGTTAATTTAAATTATGCAAGAGGAAAGAAGCACATTGCTTTAATTTTTATACCACTTAACTCCCACTGCCTAGTAATCTGATTTAAAAAATTTTAAGAGAGAAAAATAATAAATGAATTGTCCTAACAGGACTGGCGTCGCAAATAGAAATTCAATATCAATTTAAACAAACAATGCGTTCTTCTAAAATCTTGACTTATTGTCTTGTTGAGGTCAGCGGAAGTGTCAGTCAAAAATTATTAGACTAAATTGTATTGATTAAATAGTGGCTTCTTTGGAGCCACAGTCTAAATAGGCGCCACGAAAGAAGGGAGAGAGCCTATTTCTTTCAGTATTAATTTCTGTAAATACCTTTCGTCTCATTAATTTAACAACGAATAATGTGAAAATTGTCTTTCGAGTTGAGAAAAAACTGAAATAGTTCATTACCTAAAGTCTGTAGCTGTTTTCAGGTAGTTTGCCAGCCACCGTGAGCTAGAATTCGCCAGCATTTTAGGTCCGTCACATTCACCAGAGTGAATAAAAATAATAGTAAGTGCGTGGAAGTGCCCGTCTGGTTAATTACTTGCCTTGCACGTCAATTAGCGATAGAGCGCATGGTATTTTCTTTTCGGTGTTGGAGCGAGAGGCCGCGCCGTGCTTTTGTTTCCGCAGGTGCGATAAATACGCCCGGACACCATTATTTAGTGCGCTTCGGCGAAAAGAAGGAAATGCCCCACGTTTTTATCGCGCGCGCGGCCACTCGACAAATAGTTGGCAATGCTTGCATTTTCTCAGAAGTTTCTCATGCAAATTATGAGCGTGCGAGAAGATAGAATTGCATGCTGCATGGCAAAAACGTGCTACGTCTGTCTGCCTGTCTGGCCTTCTCATTCTGCATAGAGATTTTTGTACATACACACTTGTGTAGAAGAGACGCAGCAGCACTCTCTCGTCTCTCTATGCGTGTCTGCTTTCAAGTTGAAGCTCTTTCTTGCTCGGTGCGAGTACTGAACACAGAGCCACGTCTATGTTTGCGCAAAAATTGAGCAAATATTAGCACCCACGGTACTGTCAAAAGGTGTGTAAGAGAACCTTAGAAAAATGAAGGTCGGTGCTAGCAGGGATTGGGCATTGCCCAAGTTACAAACATGAAAAGGTGGGCAGAGGTTGTGCTATTAGAGCAATGACAATTGACGCTCTTTGACATTTCCAAATGTGCAAAATAACATAACATTGCCTACCTTGCCAAATGATTTTCTAGAAAATCGATGACTTGAGTAAATTTTCATTGAACATTAAGTATTCATTTTGTTGATACAATTATTGAATTATTATATGAATTATTATAATCAACTTCTTTTAATAAAATCAGAGAACAATCCCAACCCAAAATTCATCTTCGCCGAGAATTATTTATAAAAGCACTGAATTATAGTAAAATTGAGACGTTTTATTATAATTAAAAAAGTTAATGTTTAATTGTTTACGACTGAATTTTGCATTGTTGAAACTGTTTTTTTTTTTTAGTGCAGTATAATTTTAATAACATAAAATAAAACAAATTTATAAAATCTCTAAAATAAAACAAAATTATAAATAAATATAATTTCTTTAAAATTTTATTCCCTAACAAATTTTGTTAATTTTTATTTAAATTAAACATTATAGAGAGCAGTTAAATATCTATGATCATCCATTTATCATCCATGAAAAATTTTCTGTAAAATCATTATCGCCGAAATTCAGCAGGTTTCTATTTATAGAGAACATTCATTTTTAATGTGGCTGGCCAAGAAGAATTTAAAATTCACACATACTTGGACAACACGCGAGTACTAAAGGAAAAAAGTAAGTGAGAAGAATTATTAAATATGCTGGCACAAGAGAATGATAATAAAAAAATTCTCGGCTTGCTGACTCTCTTCAGCTGCTTGAAAAAGCGTGTCCTTCCTTGTGTCTCTTTCTGACTCGCTTTCGTGCAAAATTCTCTCTATTGTCAGACAAAACAAACACACACGCGCATTTGGCGTGACTTTCATGCTGGTACTCCGCCTATTTGCCTTCCTCGCCGCCAGAATTGAACATCCGCCCGGCTCTAGTTTCGACTAGGAGCAGATAAGCGTGTATAGAGGTCGTTTGCCCGTCGATTATATTCGCAACTTGAATACAATTCATTCGTTTTTATTTTTGCAAGACGCAATTCTTTTTATATTCGCAGTAATGTTTGGCGCTAGAAGATGAGAGGAGATTATATATTAGGCAAGCGAGAGGCCGCTGGCATGAATTCGGTGTGCAAATAATGGCACGTCGTAAACCACTATTTTCTAGAAGGTTCTTTAATGTTTATTCGTATTTTTTTTATTCTTTACATTCAGATTATTAGATTATATAATAGACAGAAATTGGAATTTTAATTTTAATTGAGCTATTAACAAATGTTTCGGTTGAAAACCCACATCAACTCTCTCGGATTTCATTTTCCCACAGCGTTTCAAATGAGCATTTTCATTACCAGAGTACTTTTACACACTCATTGCGGAGCCACTTGCGAGGCAATTTAGCCAAAATTATGCTTTTGTGAGAGGGAGTGAGTTTTAAATAATTACACGCGACGCCAGAATTGTTCACAAAAATTAAATGAGGCACAATGAAGCATTTTCTTTCTTAAATTTACTTTTACAAAATTTGATCTGCAACTGTGTGGAGCTTGTTTTATATTTTCCTCTTGAGCAAAAACTGCAACACATTAAAATTGGGCATGCGTGGCACCAAACCCTGTAATCAGTGTCATGCCTCATCCTCTCAGTCGGTGAGTTTCGCCAAAAAAGGAATTATATTTATTTCGCTCCGTCTGCATGCAAACTGAAAGCTGCCATCTGGTCTGGACCATCGCAACACGAAACTTGCATTAAAGGTTGTGCCAACATTGATAATAGTTCACTTACGGTTTAAAAGAAAATTCCATGCGTAATTCATTGGAATAATCTTTATCAAATAAAATAAAACTGAAATTTCCATATTTGAAGCTTTATAAAAATATTCATATTTTTTAATTGTTTAATTTCAAAGTCGGTCCAATCAAAATTATTGATTGGAAATTACTTGAAAATGCCTCTCGAGAGCGCCTTTTGTTTGCTCCGCCGAAATTGATGAGCGGCAGTTTAATTTGGCGTTAAGTGCGACCCTAAATTGTCGGTAATGAAAGTAATGAGCCTGCACGTGCACCGCTGAGCACCGAGGATTAATGTGTACGTATGTAATATCGTGCTCGTTCGAGTGACACTTTTCTCTCTGGCTCGTTCGCGTCGTGTGCGAAAGGGTGTAGGAGAATTAATGCCGCCGCGTGTGTTATATTGCCGCGCGCGCTGCATATTATTATACGTCGGTCGGTCCGTCGGTTGGTTGGTGTGACCGCACTCTGTTGTTATTCACTTTGTTTGCAATGCAACCGATGTTTAACAATGAAACACATCAACTCCTCCTTGATACATTATATGGAGAAAAGCCCCCGCGTGTCCGCAAAGTAAGGCTAAATTGAGTTGTAAAGACAACAAAAACAATAAAAATAATACAAAATTTAAAAAAAAAAATCAAAGGACTTACTTTTTGCCAATCGGTGGATTAGAGTCCATCCAAACCTTCTAAAAATCTGAAACAATCAAACAATAAATTTGATTAAATAATTTAAAAACTTTAACTAACAAATTTAATTTAATTAAATTTTAAATTGTTAAAATTCAAAACCTAGTCAACCGAGGCTCACTGCGGTTGAAGAGATCTTTTTGATCTCGGAAGTTTTAGCACAATTTTTGCTAGAGGTGGTGCCGATTTTTTCAAACAATTCCTTTATAAATAAATTGAATGTAAACAATTTATTTTACCAATCTGGAAAATACAGACAAATTATTAATGAAAAAATATTTATAGCGGTATTGATAAAGATATAGATTAAAACGATGAAAGTTTTTAAGTTTAAATTTAATGCCTTTCTTAACTATTTTAGAAACCACGCCAGAACATATAAAATTGTGAAAATGTTGAAAAGTTGTCTTCCTCATTGTTTGCGGCTTTTTATTTTTGGCGCAGCCGTCATGCTTGACTCGTTGCTGCTTTTATAGTGAGCGCTTGATATAAAATAATTAATATTTTCTCTGCGCACACATGAATAATCCCACAATTACCATCAATCCATCGTCCATTAATTTGCATGAAAAACTGCTGTTTCGCGCTTCTTTGTTCGGCATTAATCTAATTAATTAATCATTTTTCACGCAGCATTTTTGTTTATCTGCAATCGGAATTGCGTGCGTTTTTATTATTTTTGCCTCTCGCTCGTCCAAAATTGTGCAAATAACAATAAAAGCGAGCAGCACTGAAAACAACAGCCGCTGCTCGATGACCGCGGAATAAAAATTAATCCATCTGCATTTCACACACATACGCAGCACAGATGAAACTTTACGTGCTAATTATGAAAAATCCATAATTGCCTTCCGCGCGCACAACACTCTAATTAATTCACCAAGTCAAAATCAACACTCGTCGATCAGAGCGTTTAATTGTTTTCAACGGTTAATTGGCACAAAAGAGATGGAAGATCTGCATTTTGTGGTCGAGTAATTTAATTTATTTAGCTCGCAATTAGTCACTAAATGCAAATATATGAGGCTGAAAATTATTGTTTTATTGCCGTTTTGGGATGCAAGATGTTTCGTTTTTCGCACAGCACATTATTTTACTTTGCATTTCCTCACCGAATCGAAATTCAAATTAGCCAGTGCGTGTTGCGCTTGGCTAATTGAGTGATTACGAAAAAAGCAGCCGTGAAAGGTGTTCCACAATATAACAATTAGACGCAGCTACAATAATTTCTTAATGCCTGTGAGCTCATAGAAGCTTTGCCAGGAAATTTTAGAAATTTTAATATTTTAACAATCCCCGAATGAAAAAAAATTGTGCAAAACGATCGCATTTTCAACGGCATTCCGCACAGTCTGTGGAGCAGAATTTGAGACGCGACATTTTACAACTTCACTCGTCAGTAATTTTAATGGTTTTTCGTGTAAAGAGATATTGCTTAGAGCGTAATTGTACGTGCGGTTTTTCTATGTACTTTTGAAGCGCGTTCATATTATGCATGATTCCCTTTGAGCCTATTTGACGATGATTTCAAGGACCGATTCGCTCACATTACTGCCCATCCGTGCAAATCCAGCGCGTAATTAATGTTTTATTACGCGCATGCACTTAAAAGCACTTTTATGGCAAATATTCGCAAAGCGATTTTAATGAAATTTTTAATTTCATCTGTAATATTAGTGGGATTACTTTTGGTGATGCGAATTTATACGCAAATATCTGTTCTCCACAAAGAAAAACGTTGTGAATCTCCAAAATCATAATTTTTTTAATTTTTCAAATATGACATTGTGCCAATTATTTAAATAAAGTTTCTTAAAATTTAGCAGAATTCAAAGAAAGTAAAAGAAATGAACTGAAATTAATAATATTGACATGTATCTTAACATTAAATGACACAAAAATCATATTTCGAAATTTAATTTTTCTCTCAATTTTTTGCTTAGAAATTTGTAAAAAAAAAATATTCTTAGCAATTTCATATAATATCGCATTATGAAATTGTAGAGCCAAATTTTGTGATGATTCAGTGTATGACGCACATTTCTTTGATAGATATCTATGCTTTCTGCCAACTAATACTTTCGCGATTCGTGAGCACGAGTCTTATATTTCTCAGCGGAGCGTTTCCTGGAGAAGACTCTGGTATCATTCTTTGATCGTTGCCTTTCTAGGCGTCTTTAGCTAAGGAGCTCTGTTGGCTGCTCAAAGAGCGTCACTAATGCCCCTTTTCTATGGGTATTCCCACACTCGCAAGTTTAATAAACTATGTATATGTATGTACACGGCGCTCTGCACTTGCTGGGAGTGCTAAAAGCAATTTTACATAATACACGCCACAGACGTTTTGTGCAGAGAGAGAGAGGAGAAACAAGTTTTTGTTTAATTTGTTGCCGTTTCTTTGGTTTCCTCTATAGCCCCATCGAGGAATCATTTTATTTGTCTGTGTTTCAAACGCTTGAACGCACGCCAATACACGCCGGAATTCGAATTCTCTCACACGCAAAATTTTATTGCCAATTCTGTGAGTTTTTAAAAACATTCTCACAAAATATTTTGAATATCGTATCGAAAATTTAGATCACATAACAAACTTTTGCAAGAAGAATTGTGGCATTCCAAAAGCATAATTTAAATTATTGGAATTCTCTGCTGAAATCGAGATTCATCCAATAAAATTGAATTTTTCTTTTTAGCAAAATTATAAAAGGCCGTGAGAGAAAAAACATACAAACTTTCCAATAGCCCAATTATTGGAAGATAAAAATGATTAAAATCAATTAAAATATAATAAATTAGTATAGTATATATATTTATCCTATAGGAAAGCCGAAATGATATTATTATAAAATTTTATTTATAAAAAATGAAGATTTTCTACCACAGATTCCTCAACGAATTAATAACTCCTTACTGACATCATCAAATCAAGTCTTTACCACAATGTTGGTTTAAATTTTTAATTGTTTTACATTAATTAAGTTCTAAAAACATGTGAGTTTTCTTATTATAATTCATTTTTTCACTTTTCACATGTAATTAATTTAATTTATTTTAATATAAATTCCCTAAGTAAGAGGAATATATTAATATAATTTTGATTCATTTTTGAATTTATAAAATCAAACTTGAAACCAAAACATAGAGAGTAAAATTAAATTTATCAGTTTTATTCAACATATTGTAATTCAATTGAAAATTGTTTTTTGCTGTTTAAATTTGAATTTTGGAATATTTGTATGACGTATCTTGATTTGGACAGAGATTGCCTTGTAGTTCATTAATAAACTTTAACTTGGACCAAATTTAAGCACTAAAAAATGAAATTTATATCTTTATAGCGTTTGGCTCTTAGAAATTTTAAAACTTTTAATTACATTAATATATTGGATTTTGATATGAACGCTTTTTTATAATCACGATCCTTCATTATTTGATTTCCCTTCGCACCCAAAAAATTCGCGTCCTCTCCAAGTGCTCATTGCTTGCGTATTCAATTATAAAGCCACTAATGATTGCACGAAGGGCCGCGACAAAGGCACAATGTCTTTTCTTTCAATATTTCAGGCACACAGGCGACGTTCGTTTCACGGACTGCAAACGAAATAATAATTATTCGCGCGGCATAGCTGGCCGGCTGTACAGACAGACTTCTTAGCGCAAATAGCGATAAATTGTACATCAACCTCTGCGAAAGCGCGCTAGTCTGGCTGCTTTTTTCTGCGCCGTCTGCTTAGACAAGGTGAAGGTGATTCCAGCAGCGCATGTACAAAGGTAATTGCCGTGCCGGGTAATTTCGCAATAGAAGTACGTATGTGTGTGTGTGTGTGTACCTGGCTCACCTAGGCCCTCCCGCTCGCCGTCTTTCTCAGGCCGCGAAGGTATTTTTTGGCGATGTCCGACCGTGTCTCTCTCTCTCTCTCTTTCTGTCTGTCTGTCTGGCCGTTCCCCTACCTTTGCGAACTGCCTACCTGCCTGCGCCCTACAAACAACGTCTAGGCGGCCGCAGACGAGCTTTGGCCTTGGAATACCCAGGCATTACTTCTTACTTACTCTATGTGCCCCCCTCCCCGCAGCCAGACAACGCGCAGAATTATTAAACGGCCGCGTTTTTCGCAAACACTCGGCCCAAGGCGGCTGAATTTGCGTCAAACGCCTCTCTTGGTCTCTTCTCACGCGAAATTAAGCAAAAATAATGTTTCTGCTAACTCGTTCTCTGAAATAAAAACCTTACACGTCATTAAAAATTAGCCTGGGGAAAACAAAAGCATCTTTTTTTTTAAATATGTGTCCAACCATTTCAGTTGAAACGAAAAAATGATTTTGAATTTCGACGAAAATTTATGATTTCAATTCCATTTCAAAATCACGTTATACAAAAAATACACATTAATTATTTTTCTTGGTCACTTGTTGTTGCTTATTCCCTCTCCATATTAAATAAAATTTTTTTTTAATAACTGCTAATTTGTTCCCTAAAATAGGAACCCATATATATCATTAAAATTTTGCGTGGGGAAAACAATCGCATTTTTTTTTTTACCTCATCCAGTTCAGTCGAACCATTTCAGTTGAAAGGAAAAATCATTTTGAATTTTGAAAAAAGAAATATGTTTTAATTTTAATAACACGTTAATAATAACATAAACATTTTTTTTTTTTAATAGATTGCAAGTTCAGCTAACTTTAGGGCAAAGCTTATGTGACTGGCAAGCAAGGCAAAGCCAAGCAGTTCTACCAAAATTTTTTACGTGTGATTTTATGCTAGAAATGAGTTTTTTAATGAAAAATCGTCAAAAAAGGTTAACTCGTGTTTTATTTCAAAAACTATATTTTTATGATTCCAATTAACTTAATGTAAAATTAATTAGAGATTTGATTGCAAAGATTTAAAATTAAGACACGGTGCCCTCCTTTGTTAACCAAACGCGACTTTGCAAGGCTGAGTATTTTTATTTTCCCATAGAAGATTAACTGTTGTTAGTACTTTTTTTTGTAAAGAAAAAAACA